CTATATTCCTATAGATGAAAAATCCATCTCCCAAGTCAAACTCCACCATAAATAAGGGAGAGAAAGGAAGAAGAAGGCATCATGAACTTACCTTAGGTGTTTGGGGAGCTTCAAAATGTTAACAATAAAGCCAATATCGTGCCTAGAAGTCGAAGTCGAGCTCTTCGTTTTCCTCTCCTCCTATTCTTCTGTTTTCGCACGCAGAATGAATCAAGTATATCTAATTTTTGACCGTGTGCCACGCGCATGACATAGAGGAACCCGTTATTCAAATTTGTCTTTCTGCGCCGTGGTGGACTGACCATGCACCGCGGTGTGTGGCACAGAGAACAATTCTTCATTTTTTTCCTCCTCTTTCCTTGTCCAAGGCCTGCCATCGATCTGAGACTACTTCTAGGGCTAAAATCACAACAAATACATCAAGTTAAGCCCCTCTAGTTACATACCTTATTAACTCACTAATTACCTTCATTAGATTAATAAACCGGGTTAATTTTTTTCGAATGTTACAACCCCTCTGATGTTGGCCTTTGTGGTTCCAACCCCTATAATGCTAGCCCTCGTAACTCTAACCCTTTGATACTAGTCCTTATGGCTTTGGCCCCAGTGGCTCCAGCTCTCATGATTGAGCGGGCCTACTATTGAATTATACTGCCATTTATCCTTTGAGAGATGTTATAACAATCCTCATTGTTGATCTTCTAGTCGAAGGGCACATTGAGAGAATTACCTTCCAAATCCATCTATTCTTTGAAGGTGCAAGTCAACTAGAATTTGCTCTTGTGATGGTCTAGACAGCATAGCAGAGATGTTCCTTAGCCCATCTTTTAGATTTGCAATATAGTTTTTTGTCTCTCGTTAGCTTATACTTCATGATCTACTTATGCAGCCACGTTTTTTTGAGTCATAAGACTTAGGTCTATTTCTTTCAACAATATATTGATCCTCACGTGTCTTAGGCATTCTGTTCACACGTGTCCTGTTAGGTGTGCCGACAATTGTTAGGCAAAAATAAAAAGGGGTGTGTGAGGCAGCCAAAGATGCGGGGTCTCAAAAGGATAGAAGAACCTAACTTCTAATTAAAATGGAGAATCTGGGCTTCCTCATCACAGTTCACTCGGATATAAGAATGTAAAGTGAAGAAAATTAACATAGATACAAAAAAGTAAAGATACATTAATTAAAGAAAAAGGCGGTGAGCTATACCAACTGTAAGATAGAAAAATAAAGACTAAAACTGCATGATAAAAGAAAAAAAATAAATAGCCCACATAAAGTTTGAGATTGGTAGTTTGTTAATGCTGATGATCCTTCTTGTTGAGAAAAGAGCTTCTCTATTTATAGATAGTCTTAACTTTGTGCCCAAATCTCATGATCACCAATTTTCTTGAATTTAAAAAGCGCTTCCTCCATCTCGTCATTCATTATGGGTGGAGTGTGAATGATCTTTACTTAATTGTTAGGGCTTCATAAATATATTTTTTAATTATTTAAAGTTAATTAAATTGAATTGAACCTTGACTTCTAAATTTTCAATTTGGGTATAAATAAGAAGATAAATAGCACATCATTTGTAAAATAGCACATGACAATTTCGCCCGGATAGCACGTTACTTTTGATCTTCAACCCCTGAAATCATTTCAAAACTCTTTCGCCGCCCCTGTTCTTTGCTTGGACAGGGAGAAAGGAAAAGATCATGAGATGAAGAAAACGTTGGGGAAAGACGCGCTCACATAAAAGCCTGTTTAGTTTTTAGTTTTTAAAAACTATTTTTTATTTTTAAAAATAAAAATTAAAAAAATATTTAAATAAGTATTTTGGATTATATTTAATTGATTTCAAAATCATTCTTATTTTTTGTTTTTAAATAAAAATAAAACATTTAAAATTATTTTTATTTTTCTTATTTCAAAACACACTACATTTTGTGTTAAAAATATGGTTAATTTAACCAATTTTTATTATAAATTATCATCATTTACCGCCCATAATTATTACTATCCGCCTATTTTTCAAACTTTAGAGCTATTTTTCAAGAAATATTTGATGATGTTTTTATATTTGGAGTAATTTACTATTTATCATTCCAGTAATGTTTTTGGAAGCATTAAATGAGTGGCAGAGATTTAGTAAAGTACTATGTCATATTTTTAATTTGTGTGCAATAACCTGGGAAAAAAAGAAATGTAATGAAACGGATCAGGAAACATTCTTGTCTCTCCTTCGAGACAATTTTGGATAGCATGTTTTCTTGGAGATCTATTCACTTTTAAAGAGATCATAAGACTGGAATACTTTGTTGAATGAGGAGGAAAATAGGGTGCATAAATGGATTTGGATTAATAAGTTGCTTAAATTTTCCTACTCTATGAGTCATGAGTGTCTCATAGTTTATAGTTATTTGATCTTATTAATACTTGAAAATTTTAAAATACATTTCTCTTTAAAAATTTGAAACAGTCATTATTATTAGAACACTCCTGATTCCCTTTAAAAAATTTAAAATTTGTTACTTTCTTTATATTATATAATAATATCTTATGGTTGTATAATTAAATTAAATAGTTGTTGTCATGTCATGTTAATTACTCATTGAATAAGTAAACTTAAACTATCCACTAAATCTAAATCCATACTACTACTGATTCATATGCTTGTATTTGAAACCTGACAAGCCAAATGTATCCTTAATATAGGAAATAAGAAAAGTTTAAATACAAAAAGCTGTGATCAGGCGTCAAGCCTTTCTTAATAGGCAACACAAAACACTGATCGATACAACCAATTAATTGCTCAATCGTTTCATACTCTATCGGCTGTGCTCGACCTCGCTTGAGATGACATGCAAGCTATCAAGCGTGCACGTATTAGCTTTCAATTTCTAACTGCCATCTTTACGTAACAATAAGTTTCTTTTTGGAAAATTGCTTTCCAAGAATGTGGAAAAAATTATTCAAATAATACAAAAAAATTGTTGTTAACATAAAAATATAAACCGGTTTTCCTGAATAATAACTTGTTATTAATTTTTGTTGGGAATATTTTTTTTTCACCAGTCCTTAAATGCAATTTTTCCTTTTTTTTAACTGCTAGGTTTATTAACATACTTTAAAATAAATAGAGATAAACAATTATTACAACAATTGATACAATAAAACTGCTAACAATTTTCTCTCCACCCTCCCCTACTTTAAATATATTTTCATTTTTTGAGAAAAATATACTTTTGCATTTGCGTTCATCATCTATATTTAAAATCTAACATTTTACACGCAATCACAGCAAAAAATCCTGTTTGCGCAATTTTCAATATTTTCCCAAATTTTAGATGAATATATTTTTTCTTATTTATGGATTAAAGTAAATTTAAGAGACTTAACCAATATCAAAAGTTTGGCTTTAGCCCTTCTTCCCAAATTTTAGATGAATATATTTTTCTTATTTATGGATTTAAAGTAAATTTAAAGAGACTTAACCAATATCAAAAGTTTGGCTTTAGCCCCAAAAAAACAATATCGCAATATCAAACAAAATAGGTGTCCTTGTGGTCTCTTTAATTCTGTATTCTTCTTATTCTCCTTTTTTGTTTTTTTTTGTTGGGATTGATTCTTCTTTTTATCCTCAAAGTTGATCCTTTACTGGCATCACAGTTGGCATGTATTATTATTTATTACAGAAATTGCTAAAATATTGGCCGAGACAAGAAAATTTAAAAAAAAAAAAAGTCGAATCTTTTACAGCGAAGCAGCAAATAATAGCCCTATTCATTTAACCGAACTTCTTGGATGCCAACTGCCAGCCTTGTTCTACGAATGTTGTCAAGAAGATGAGAAACTGCGTTCGGTCAGAGCAGAAGCCAGGGTTTCTTAAACATCACATGGCAGACACGTGTTCTCTCTATACATATATTTTATTTAGACGTGTCACTTAATAAAAACACACACACACCACACACACACGAGAAGGTAGACGCACGCCGCTTTAGATGATATTTTCTGTGTGGGGCGGGACTGGAGGGAAACTTGGAAGTACCACTCACAGGCAAAAAAATTTGAACAGTAGAAAGGATTAAGGTTGTTAAACTCATAAATTTATTTAAATTTACGATAAAAATATAAATTTATATTGTAAATTTAAATTTTAAACTCGTAAGAATTTACTTCTATTAATAAATAACCATTAAAATGTGATCATAATTTAATTTAAATATATTAAAATATAAATAATTAAAATTAAATTTATTTACATTGATAAATTATTGTATACAAGATTAAAATTTTAAGATAGGAGAATTTATTTTTAATATTTTTGTTTTATTTTTTATTTGTATTAGTTTTTGCATTTCATTTTTTTGAATCAGGTTTTATAATTTTTATGAATTGAATTCTTCATAATATATATTTAGCTCAAAAAAATTGACTCGTTTAATAAATTTAATTAAATTTAAATTTAGTTGGAGTTTTTGAATTTATTGACATAATATTATAAGTTAGAAATATAAAAATGATAAACTTAAAGTTAAATTCATGAGTTTAACTAAATTTATATCTAGTTTGAGTTTATAAATAAGTTAATAAAATTTTATAAGTTAAAAATGTAGAAAATAAAATTTAAAAAATTAAATTGAAAATTTGACAATTATTAACAGGACTAAGTATATGATATTGTTGTGGCAATTTTTTTATGGCAAAATTCATACACACACATGTATATTGGGAAAACTGCTTTTAATCCTTCTTCCACGTCATTAAGTTCGGACTTCGGAGAGAGCCAGTCACACTGTTGAAACCAAAACATTAATAAAATTACTGAAGACTACTTTCGTCAACGTATTCAAATATCAAAATTGTTTCTTTTCCCAACGCTGTACCATACATGACCCAACTTGCTTGGCTGTTGGTTTAAGCATAAAAGAATAACTGATCCCCAAGAACAGAAGAACCGGCACCAGAGGGGAATTACATTAGATGATGAGTTTGGTAAGCACTAAGCATCATCTGATGATGCTTTGATAGTTTGATGTTAACTGCTCCTTTTATTATATTCTCCTGCCCCCTGACTTCAAGGTTGAGAACTGTTTCAACAGTCTCATTTCATAACAATCCCTGCGTGTCTTTTTCGAGCATTTAACTTTTTAACAGATTCAAAGTTCCAAAAACTAGCCAAGTGGGATTTGGAAGACCCATCTGTTGTTTACTTCTTCATCCCCATCTGGGTTTGTGAGGCTCTGAATGAAAATAAATTTGATTTCTTGCGCAAGTTTTCAAGCTGTGTCTCCTGAAACAAGTTTCGGGCATTCGGGTTTTTCTTTTCTAGTGTTTATCTTCTATTCTCCTGGTGAAGGTTGAAGCGGCCAAATTATGGATCTTTGCTACTCAAAGGCAGTGTGATTTTGGAGTTCAAAGTAAGATGGATTCGTTGTAGTTTCAGACAGATCTGAGCGGGAAAGGATTGCTAACAATGGAACCGCCCAAGGGATTATGGGCTTCATTGTGGAACTTTATTCGCTTTCTTCCTTACTTCATCGGACTTCTGCTTCTAGGCAACTTCAAAGGTGGATTTCAATCTTCCTTGTTTCTTCTTTTTCCTTACTGAGAGTTTCGAACTTTTGAAAAGATCAAAACTTTGATGGCAATTGTTCATAACTGACCTTTGTTTTAAATAAGTATTCATTGTTCATTTGCCTGTGATTCTATCTTTCTTTCTTTTCATACGCCTACGGTGGGTTGAATTTTCCGTTATAACCCAAGTGCTCCATTTTTTACATGTTGCTGCTGTCTAACAAATTCATTTTAATATCTTTAATGACAATCTAAGAAACGTCGATCACATCTTATAGGGGGAAATACTTAAATTTAGTCAGTATCATTTATGGTCAATCTTTAAAATCGACAAAAAGTGGTTTGTTTGAATGATCTAGGATAAACGGTTTACAGGTATCTTCACCTATCCAAGGCATGATTTTACCTTTTCCATCGTGGTATATGTTATAGAGGCTCGGCTTGTTACGTACTATAACAACAACAACAACAACAACAGCCTTTTATCCCACTAGGTGGGGTCGGCTACATGGATTTGCAAGACACCAATATTGGCTTGTTACGTACTATACGATATCAAAATAGAGTAATGTCGAGATTTCAGGATTAGTATAACATTTATTAATTTGATATATGGCCTGATTCATTAATGCTAAAAACTAGACTACTTATATGTCAGGTATCATTTTCTGCCCATTGATATGCTTAATAATCACTATCGGGAACTCCGCTATCATTATTGGTCTTTGGGCAGCGCACAGTTTTTGGACATATTACTGCGTAGTGAGGTGCTTCTCTTGGCTTCCACTCGCTCAAGATTTTGCTCATTGATCCAATGTTTTCGTTGTAATTGTAATTCCTTTCTTATATTGATTTCCTCCATGTACAGAGCTAGGCAATTAGGGCCAATTCTGAAGTTTGTTATCTGCATATGCGTACTTCCTGTGCTGTTGATTTTGTGGCCTGTGGTTGGCATAGTTGGGAGCATCATTGGTGGAGCAGCTTATGGGTTTTTTACACCAATATTGGCAACTTTTGAAGCTGTTGGGGAAGGAAAGAGTGACCCGTTTTACCACTGCATTGTTGTATCTCCGAATTGTAGTTCTTGAAATGGTTGTTGTAATATCTGTTCTTCTGTTGTAATGAATGCATTGAATGGCATTCCATAATGCAATGTGCAGGATGGGACGTGCAGCACGATAAAAGGGAGCTTTACTGTTGTCCGGGATGTAAGAGATGTGTGTTTCTATTCGTATTTCTCGATTATGGATGACTTGAGACAGATGGGGCCTCCAGATATGAAATATCTTGAGATCAGGTTTTATTGTGTTCCTCACCAGTTGGGTTGTTGATATATTTGTATTCTTCTGATGAAAACATTACTCTAACAATGTAATGTATTCTAGAATTAATATAAAAATGGATATTATAAAAGCTACTAAATATTAATAGAACTAATAACAAAATTCTGCTAAGTAACATGTGCTTCTTACTTAGCTAATCTTCGAGTTTCAAATTTGAGTTTTGAGATATGCAATCGCATTAAATAAAAATGTTTGTTGGTAATAATGATCCCACACAGAAGAGTTTGGTTTAAAGCCCGAGCTGATGGTGGTAATACTCCCAAGATTCCCAGGATAATAGAATAAAAAAGGTGTGCTTTTACATCCTTTTAACATCTTAAAAAATGACATTCTCCAACAATTGGTAAAGACTATCATTGCAAATGACGATTCTTATATGGGATGTCTTGTGGTTAAATTCCGATCGAGATAAGCAATTAGAACAGGAAGTAGTATAACTTATATAGTCATTATGATTCTCCAAGTTGTTCTGCTTAAATTATTGTTTTCCTTCTAATAAATGTTTTTCCATTGTTCCTTGTAATGCAATTTCTGGGCATGAATCCATCTTTAGTCTGTGCTAGATTTCACTTGAGAATATCCAACTCTGCATCTTGAAAAGTAAAATATGTGGTCTGTATTAAAAGAACTGGGAAGTTAATTGAAGTTAAACAAAATTTTGATTGTGAGATGGGTTTCTGGATAAACACGACTCATAGCACACCCCAAAACACGCGATGTTTTGTTGTGGATTAAGCTGAAAGGTAGTCCTCTTTTAAAAATTTAATGAGATTTCTTTCCCCTGTTTTTTTGCAGACTGTTATATCTTCCTGGTGCTATTATAGTAGGAGCGCTTGGTATCCTAGTGGATGTGCCTGTGATATCATTTGTGGCACTTTTCAAAGGCCCTTACATGCTTTTTAAAGGATGGAAGCGTTTGTTTCATGACCTCATAGGTCGTGAAGGACCTTTCTTGGAAACAATATGCGTACCCTTTGCCGGTCTTGTTATTCTTTTGTGGCCTCTGGCTGTTGTTGGGGCAGTTCTAGCATCCATGTTAGCAAGTATCTTCCTCGGTGCTTATGCAGGGGTAGTTGCTTATGAGGTAAAACCTTATCTTTAAATAAGTATTCTTACTCTCCGTCAGTAATTTCATTATTATAGCCTGATGCTTTAAATTATTTTCCAATTGATGAGGATGTAGTATTTAGTGGCAGGCATGCTTGTCTTTTCTTATGCTTTGGCATTTACCAATGGCTTGACGTACCTCAGCATCCAGACCACTGTTTAGCTATGCCTTCTGCATAATATTTACTTGATGCGTGAAAGGTGTAGGCCAATGCTGAGGCTCACTTGGAGTTCAATCTTTTCAGGCATCTATTGTAACTTGATTGGTGCATAATATATGATCGAAAGAAGTTGGCATTCGTACTATAAATATGATGCATCGTCTCTGTTTATATGATTGAAGAGGCCTTTTAAATAGGCTTCTCAGTTTCCCACTCTCTCCCACTATTGTAACTATAACTTCAATGTAAATCTAATTTAGAGACAACAGTTTCGCTTTTAATGTTTGCTAAGCCAAAATGCTTGGACATGATGTCTATGTTTTTAAAACGTTAGCTTGTTCCTTGAAATACAGGAGTCTTCTATCTTATTTGGGCTCCGGTACATTGTTGCAGCTATGTCAATTTATGATGAATACAGTAATGATATTCTTGACATGCCAGAGGGATCATGCTTCCCCAGGTTTCACTCTGCTTCCTAAAATTTACTATCGTGGTACGCTGTTAATTCTTTATGTTTTTTTTTTCCCTAAAACAAGCTTGATATATTGATAGGCTTCAATTTCGAAGAAAGAGTGAGTCAACACGATCAACATCTCGTGCACCTTCCTTCTCAAAAGCCAGCTCCTTCAATAAGGCTTATTCTCGCTCATCTTCACTGAAAAACACTATTGCAGAGCTGAAACTACTTGAGGTATTACTTGTAGTATAATGTTTTCAATGATGAGTGACAAATAATTCGTTCCCTATGTTATTGCAAACTCAGATCTGTACTGAATGAAAGTTGTTCATGCCTTGTGTAGCTATTAGATGGGTTGTTTAGAGAATGTCATAATGCCGGAGAAAAAATGGTTTTGGAAGGATTAATCACGCGTCAGGACATCGAGGAAGCCAAGTCTGGTAAAGGAACTGGAGTTATCAGTATAGGTTTTCCGGCATATTGCCTTCTTCAGGCACTAATACGCTCTGCAAAAGCAAATTCCGCTGGTATTTTAATAAGTAAGTGAAAGTAAAACACTTGTAGCTGTGGTCGTTCTCTATCCCTTCTGTGTGTCTGATTTCTCTCTTTCCCATATCCATTTTTCTGCTGCTGATGCAGGTGATGATACTGAGCTGACTTCCACGAACAGACCTTCCGAGACTTTCTTTGATTGGTTCCTTAATCCTCTTTTGATCATTAAAGATCAAATCAAAGCAGAGAATCTTTCTCCCTCCGAAGAAGATTACCTTGGCAAGTTAGTTCTTTGGAGTGGTGATCTTGACAGAGTAAAAAGCTCCAGTGTTGGCCCGGCACCTGAATCTGAGCGCAGGCGTGCTGAACTCAATGGATTGGCTAGAAGGTGTTGATCAGACCGAAACGAAATGAAAAAGAAAAATAAGAAAAAAAGAAAAAGAGTTAACTTCTAACACTTCTTTGTGGTTTCCTGGTCTGATATTTCTGTTGAATTACATGTCAGGCTCCAAGGGATCATGAAATCGATGTCGAGGTTCCCAACATTCCGGCGGCGGTTTGATTATCTTGTGAAAACATTGTCTGATGATCTTGCTGAGAAACATGGAGCTCAATCAATTGCCAGATCAAAGAGTGCATTTGGTCGGATGATTAGTCTCAATTCTTTCAAGGGCAAAAGAAAAATTTCTTGACGACAATTTCTTGTTTGACAATTTGATCTTAACCATAAAAGCATCCAACACGGTGATATATACGTAGTCTGATAGTCTTCATTTTGAATCCATATTTGCTTTCCAAGTGTCATCACTATTAACAACTCTGGTTGCTGACGCCCGAACTTCTCTGGGGATAGGAACAATTGGCCATGAGGACCAAAGAGCTTAAATATTTGGGCACAAGTCCTGAATGCACAAGTAAATCCTACAAGAGATCATGGTGCTGGAGGGACACTAATTTTTTTCCGCAAAAATATCAAAATATCCTTCCTTTTCTGCACTTGTCTCTAGAATGCATATTATTGAAGATTCATTAGTATTTTGTTATTTTCTGTAAAAACATGCTATCGTTCCAAGACCCTGATCCTTTGTGGGTTGTAATTTTGCATTTGGAACCTACACGCAAGTATTTGGCTCTTTTGGTCCTCGTGGCCAGTTTTTCCCAGAAATATGGCTCTTACGGTTTAAACTTTAAACTCAATGTGAACGAATACATATGTTGCAGGGAAAAATATGCCACACGCCATCACGTTTCTTCACGTCGAGAGTTAAATGAGTGTAACAGAATTGAGAACGAGCAGCGCTTCTAAGGCAGTATATTTTTAGCAACGCTAATAGCTGACACTGTTTGGTATACGCCCAGGCTTCTCCAGAAATATGCCCTTGACAGTGTGGATGAATGCATGCATTGCAGAAAGTGTAAACATGCTTCATCTGATCGACAGAGCTACCAATTTACCAAAAGTCGTAGATTTTTAGTGTAGTGTAGATTAGTTGAGCAAACACGTTAGACACTAGGAAGTTGAGAAACTGCAAATGTGCAATTAATCCTGAATATTAAATATAATGGTGATTAAGGGGCTTAATGTGATGAGGTTCGATGAAATATATTGGATTGGATTATTAATATAATATAATATTTGTCAATGTACTTCTCTAGAATGAAAGAGGACAGAAGTGAGCTATCATAATCCCATAACCCGTAACTATAGTGCGCCTATATTCTTGTGTGCGTGCTGATTGAATGTATAATTCCCGCCAAGCTTCTCATGTGATATCAAAATTTAACGTTCATTAATTAATAATTAATTATCAGATTCAGTCAAATAACTACCCAGCATTTCCCAGCTTGGCCTTCAGTCTGTAACCACCCACTACTCCATTTTCCTGTTTCCACGCCAACTTTCACCACTCTCCATCTCTATATAAATTCTCCTTCAAAACTTAATCTTGCGTCTTGATCTGCATACCCACTTGACCTCACTCTCCGAGGTGCTATTCTGATTCTTGTTCATTCTTCTTCGCTATGGCCTTTTCCTCTTCAACCTCTCTCCATGTGCTCCTCGTGGCCACAGTCCTGTGCTGTGCATCTGGTTTTGAGTACCAAGTGGGAGGATCAGCAGGCTGGGCGGTCCCACCTGCGAATCAGACCGACATCTACAATGAATGGGCTTCACACAATAGGTTCCAAGTTGGCGACTCCATACGTAAGTGCTCGTGCTCGTGCTCGTGTTCTTCTTCATCAGTGTTGATACAGTTCAATCAATGGGTGTTTGTTTATCTGTGTTGTTGTGGTGGTGTGTAGGGTTTAGGTACAAGAAAAGGGACAGAAGATGATCAGAGGGTCCTCACTCAGGAGGAATCTCTTCCAAATCACCATGGACAGCTCTTCTGCTTTCCGTCATCAAGCGTTGCTGCTTGTCTCCAGGATCGTCTTCTTTGTTTTCGCCTTTCTTGCTTCCTATGTTGTTTGAAATTGAATCTTAGCTTGTGTGACTTTGTTTGAATTTTTCTCTCGTTATCTTGTTCGTTGTCATGGGTCTTGGAATTTTATTACGCGGCATTGTACATTTTTTTAAATTATGGTTTATTAATTATTATTGTTATCTCGGTGTTTGTTTTGTATCTTCCATGAACTAAACTCGTTTTCATTTGTGGTAAAAGGAGCATATGGTTTCATTATTACTAGGAAAATGTACAGCTTTGGATCATATGCAATCATTGTGAACTAGAGCTTAGCTAAAAGCGAGATCCAAAGGTTTTGGAGATACATGTGGCTTTCAATAATAAGTATAAAAAAATTTACACTAGGACGTAGGACCTCAATACCTCATGCCTAAAACCGAATGGCAGCCCCGCTTATAAGTGAATGGCCCAAATGTGGCCAGAAAAGTATGATATCCAAAATCGAAAGCCATTTCACCCATGAAGTTCGAACTTCCAACGTTAATAGTGCATGGAAAAAAATTGTTGGCCGAGGCTGATTTTTTGTCGTCATTTTGGAGTAACGAATCCTTATTGTTTTTTTTTAAAAACGTGGCCAAATCTCAAATTAAAAAAAAAAAGAAAAAAAGATTGACATTTCATTTTTCATGAATTATATTCAACATTCAATTTCTTTATAGTTAAGTTCTATTCAGTAAATTCAATTACTTAACTGGTATATACATCTTTTAATAATTTTATAAATATTATTATAAACCATTTTAAAAATAAAATGAAAATAAAAACTAATTAAAATTAAAACGGGTATTTTAGTCACAAGGGAAACACACCAAACCACTTGAATTAAATGAAATGCAGCGGGCAATATTGGAGCACGTCAACCATTGGGCGCTCAAGCATTTCCCACGAAAATAACAAATAGCCTCTAAATGCGGTCGATCACTGCCCAAACTACCCCCCTTTGATTTCTCTAACTCAGAGCAGTCCTCTTCATCCGTAACCATTTTGGTTTTGGTCACGATCACATCCCTTCCTCCCCCACTCTCAGAACCGCCTCTTCTTTTCCCTATTCTCTCTTGCAGACAACAATGGCGACGAGTTGGTCAGGAGGTCGCTGTCTAGGGTTTTATCGTCGCCGGCGTCCAAGTTGCTGAGGGCTCGTGCCCACGCCTCCGAAGCTCAAGCCCAGCGGGTGGAGCCCACCGCACGCGACTCCACTGCCTTCAGACCTTCCAAATCTACCGATGGAACCCCGAGAATCCTTCCAAGCCTCAGCTTCAGGAGTATCAGATCAATCTCCGGGAGTGTGGGCCCATGGTTCTCGACGCCTTGATCAATCAAGAACGAGATCGATCCCACCCTCACTTTCCGCAGGTCCTGCCGGGAGGGAATCTGCGGCTCCTGCGCCATGAATAGATGTGCTGCAATGGCTTGGCTTGCTTGACCAAGATTCCTGCAGGCTCTGAGACCACGATTACTCCTTTGCCTCATATGTTCGTCATCAAGGATCTCATTGTGGATATGACCAATTCTACAATCAGTACAAGAGTATTGAACCCTGGTGAAGAGGAAGAACCCGCCCTGTCCTGGTAAGGGGAGGTACCTCAGAGCAAAGAGGATAGGGCTAAACTCGATGGGATGTACGAGTGCATATTGTGTGTGTGCTGTAGACATCCTGCCCTAGCTACTGGTGGAACCCCGAGTCGTATCTGGGCCCCGCAGCTCTGCTCCACGCTAATAGGTAATACTTGTTTAAGTCTCTTCATCCTTTGCCATTTTTCTGTAACTCGATGGGATGTACGAGTGCATATTGTGTGCGTGCTGTAGCACATCCTGCCCTAGCTACTGGTGGAACCCCGAGTCGTATCTGGGCCCCGCAGCTCTGCTCCACGCTAATAGGTAATATTTGTTTAAGTCTCTTCATCCTTTGCCATTTTTCTGTGCAACTGAATGTTTCTGTAACTGCTTCTTTGGATTTGATTTGTTCATGTGAAATTGAGTTTGACTTATGGTTCTTTAACATATGTATATATACTAGCTGGGTAATGTATTCATTTTATTTGTGTCATGAGAAAAATGTGAAGTCGACTGTGATGCATCTTCTTTCTTGGCAAACATTTCATATTTCTGTTCCGGATGATGTGTTGTGGACCTCAGAAAGAGTACAATTTCTGTTTTTGTTCCTATGCTCCTTCTAACTCATTGCCTGCACACAGCACATTTGAGATAAAGCTGTGTAAATTTTGGAACTGTGGTCTCATATATTGTTCTGTATCCAGCAACATTTTCGGATTTCTCTGCATTAAAAGTGATATGTTTTTCTTTTCGTCGAATATATTCCAGGTGGATAAGCGACAGTCGTGATGAGTACACTCAGGAGCGATTAGAGGCCATTAACGATGAATTCAAGCTCTATCGCTGCCACACCATATTGAACTGTGCTCGTGCCTGTCCAAAGGGCTTGAACCCTGGAAAGCAAATCCAAAATATCAAAAAGCTGGAGCTGGGAGTTGGCAGAGCTTGAGGTTCTGTTGTTTGAAGCATCATGGAGTGTGCATTGATAACTGATTTCGATTCAAGTTGGGATGATACTTTTAGATTTTAAAATCCTGCCCAAGTTTTTTTGAGTCTGTTGTGTGAACTTGGGAGTTTTAAGCAAATAGTGTCCTTATCTTTGCAATAAATGTTGATAGAGAATCCTATCATGAAACTGGCCGTGGTCATTCTGCTTAGAAGCTTAATATCTCGCCTCTGAAAGTAAAAAGCCGTGATTGCATCGCAGTTTGTCTTTAACTCGTGATACTTAAATTTATTTGACTGACTGTTTTATGAAGACATGAGTGTAGTTATTGGAGCACCTCGATGTAAGAACACTTAACACGGCACTGATTTTGATTTCGCAGCCAATGCATTGCATATGGTTATCATATTCTGTTCTAAGTGTAGAGGATGACCGTTTTATTGCTTGAAAACTAACACATGGATTATACACTCAGACATCTTGTTCTGTTCCTAACCTGGCTTTATAACTTCATTACAAGTGAAAGAAAACCCGTATGTGTGTTTGGTTATCTTTTTATAATTGTTTTCAATTATGTGTGTTACCCCATTTTTAGAGGAATCATTGCTGAGCTACAGGAGCTACTTTGTCTCTTCATTAAAAGCCTTGGTGGATGTCATTTCATAGAATTGTCATGAGGGACCTTCGAGGTAATTAAGCAAATAAAGTATCTAGAATCAGAAAGTGTGCATTGACACAGCTATGAAATGATCATTACATCTATTCATAACGTACATAAAATTATGGGAATGTGAAATCGATGTAATGATTTACAAAGAACTCATGCTTTAATACATAAGAGATGCGGTGACGAGCCAGGCTGTCTCAATGATGAGTTTAAACCTTGTGAATCACTAAACCAAGAAAACTCGAGATATTCTTGAGCAGTTCTCATTCCAATCACCAGGATATCGATGATGAGGCCAATAATAAAGATGTTAGAAGTAGCTTGTTTTCTGGCCTTGATGATTTTATTTGAACACGGGGCTAGTGTTCTGGGAAGAACTCGCTTTCCAAATCTCAGGATTCTTCTGGACATCGAGCCACCTCAATTTGTGACCATAACAGGTAATGTAGTTTTTTTTTAAAGAAAAAAATGCTTTTGCCACGTTTTCTTAACCACGTTCTTTAAACATTGACCAGTAATGTTTGTGCAGGATGTAACAATGACTGCGACATAGCTTGTTGCAACTGTGAGATCAGGCAACACCCGCCACTCTGCGTCGAATGCTGTCGGGAAGATCCTTGAATTGCACACTCTGAGCCACACGAACCTCTCATTTCGTCCTACAATTTCACTTTGAAGAAACTGTACTAGTTTTCCGTACGTGATTATTATATGTATCATTCCCTTCCTCTTTTAACCCAAAAGGAAAAAATTAGCAATAAAATAGTTTCTTCATCATGGCTGTTTAGAGGGCTATCGTCATCGGGTATCTCACAGGAGCGTTAAGTTACCTTTTGCTACAAGGAAGAAGTTGCATATCATTAAGCTTGTTATGGCCAAACTATGCAATTGGACTAGATCAAACTGGCATCGTCTTTTGATCCCGGCCATTGAACTCATACTTGAACAGCATGCAAAGACCATGCAATTCATACTAAATGTCACCTAAAATAGTGTTCCCAATTCTTTGCTCATCTCAAACCCACACTAAAGTATAATTGTTCAGGGAAATATAAAGTATATATATCTCTATGTTACTATAAAAAAGTCTAACTATACTTAATTATAAGCTATAAACAACCATTACTTTTTTGACTCCATGCAACATACAAAAACTACTAAGTTACAAAAAGAGTGAATGAATTTATCTGGTATATGAATTTTCCCATCATTGCATCTACTCAAGCCAAATCATTGCCAAGAATATAATGCTCTATTATGCACAACAGATCTAAATTCGTGATATCGTCAGTGTCTTTTTTTGTGAAAATCGTTATTATCTGCCTGCTGCTTAAACATTACGATCTGTATTAGAACGTGTCCATGGTGTATTTCATTTTCATCTTACAGTCCACAACCAAAAGATTGCTTGCCATGAAGCCCTAAGCAACAGCTTACGCAATGGAGCTGACGTCTTATTCTAGCACCCAGAAAAATCCTAATTATCAGGTGTTAACTCTTCAAAAATACAAAACCGCAAGCGACCTTGAGTAGCGCATCTGTATTGCTCTGGATGTTACACCAACAACCAGTTTCCATGAACAATTATAACTGGATTGAGAGACGATGTGCAGAAACTAGATTCTCCTCGCAAACCAAGAAAACGCGGCTGATGAAATCTGCACCCTAAGATCAGCAATATCCACATCATGCCCGCCTTCAACTAGGCCCCACCTGTCTATCTGGAAGGGGAAGCCCAAAATAAATAAAAAAAAGAATGAAGATTTTTTCATTTCTGAAAAGATCATGAATAGATGCCAAGCTGGGGTACTCAATTTTTAAGCACCAAGTTTCCGGGAGAAAAACCAAACAGGTGATTATTTAACGAGGAGAGAGGTTAATCAAGTAGGAACCTGCAAATCTTCTTCTAGTCTAATAAGCTCAATGATTCCTCAATCTGCAATCTCCCACGAACTAAAGCAATAGCAATAATTAAAGAGGTGAGCTGCTGCTGCTATGGCATCAATTGAAGCCATTTCACAGTCATCCGCTCCCTTAGAAGGTTCTCTACTGCCTTAGAGAGACCATCTTCCTGCTTTCCACCAAAAAAAACTGGTGTAGACAGTAGGCTTGAAGCCAAATTCCAGCTCACCCAATGAAGCAGGGATCAATTTTCTCCAATTGACGATCTGCAAAGTTCAAAACATTTGAGTTAGAATTGGCACATGCGTGTGTCTTAAATTCCATGCTAATTATTACATCATTAATTGACATACTTCTTAAACCACATGCCCTTAATCTATGAGAATATTAAAAGAAATAAATGTTTAATAATCACTTCAGATACAGCTAGGATCTTGATAGGAAACCTTTAACACAACCCAGAAGTTACCTCACGAGGCTAGCATGACCAAGGTCCCTACAAATCCTCCCCTAGATTCTCCTGCTTGCTGAAATCAAGTCCCATACTCAATAATTGTTCCCAACAGTCCACACCACCACATGACCTCGGTGCCCGAACAGGCTGGCTTTGCACTAGCTTTTACCCTGGGCTAACACTAGAGTCACTCAGCTGCCATATTGCGAATAGGAAAAAGTGGAAGACTTTGATACCAATGTATAGGAACCTTGAAAAAATTATACCCAAAACTTGCTGTTGACTTGGAGAGCCCAAGGTCCCTATAAATCCCGTACTAGAATCCATAATTCTAAGGCAGGAACCAGATCCCATGCCTATAGATCTACTCTTAATGAAGCTTTCAATAACTCTTTGATGCACGATTCCATTGATCAGTTTCTATCAGCCTCAGGGACAACTTGAAGACACATTTACCCAAAACACTAATCTGTCAATAATTGGCCTAGGAGATGAAAAAATTATATTATTGAACAATGTATCTAGAGGTAAATGCAAACCTACAGTCAGTCCTGCATCAGTAGGGAAACCAAACTCCCATATCATTCAGAGTTGCAAAATCTTAAGTAGTTACCAATTACCACAAACATCTTCACCCAAGAAGATAACTTTTCTCAGCTTCTTGATTAGCAATCTAGGTTCTGAATTTGTCACAACTTATAATGCAAACTGGGTAAGCTCCGCATGCATTGTAAAGAGTTTGACCAATGAGGCACATTATTCAGATTTTAATCTCCATATCCAGAAATTTGAATCATCAAGTTTCGCAGATATGAAATTCAAGAACCTTGTGGGCCGAACTTTTTCAGCCATGTGCTTCGCTCACACACTCCACTAGACATCTATGAAGAATTCTCCATGGATCAGCAATAATACCATGAAAGAACTCAGGCAAGACTGAAGCGTCAATTAAATCAACCATATCATTAATGTATTAGACTCAAGTGTATTTATACATGTAAGCTTCAACTGTCTAAGAATCATTAGACTACACTAATATAACTAATCTATGACAACTCTGCAGCAGTTTGCAAATAGTGAAAAAAACTGGCTATAAATTACATATTTATATTCAATATAAGGATAATGTTTAATTCTTCAATCTAAACATATACTACACAACCAAGCAATCAAATACAACAGTATTCTTTTTTGTGCTAATCTTTTAATTTTCAGTTTTGGGATGATGATTCTCTATATTCACTCAGAGCATATACTCGCATCAGGCAATCGTATACTTGCCATGTGAGGTCTGAATAAAGGAAAGATTATATCAACTAATAGCATACCACGGACATTGCTTGTAAGGTCACTATCACCAGGAGCACGACAAAAGACTAGATCTTGGTTGAATTTCTTCATCAAATTCTCAATGATTTTGGTCCGAGTGACAGGAACTCTTTCCAAGGCCGTACAAGCAAGCTTCATAAGAGGCATCGTGAAAGGTCTTATGCCATCTATTTGCTGCAATTAATCAAATTTCATCTGAGTCCAAACTAAGTAATACTCCTAACCAGTCATAACGACAGTCAAACAAAATATGAAATATAAAAACTTGAACAACGATTTAAGGAGGAACATTCATATGGAAGAGGCGAGGGATGCACTGCAATCCAAAATCATTAGGTCTAGAGATTGATCTAGCCGATAGACTTGAACTCCTGAATAGATAATTGTCGTATCTCCAGCAACAAGATCCTCTAATGCCAATAATTTGCAACTATTAGAGATAAACTCTACCGTAATTGCAGTTTCCATAAGATGTTACTGAATAGTTAAACATCAGGAGGCGTGCTCACTTTTATGGGTTAACTAATGCAAATGGAACTGGATACTAGCAGGAAACAATCAACTAATACAAATTCAGGCTTTCTTGTCAAGTTACAATTTATTTTTAAGGAAGAAACATGAAACTGCGAGGTGTATTCAGCAAAGAAAAATTTTGAAGCATCAATTACAGGGTTCTGCTAGCATTTGGAATGTGTCAAACCTAGATTCATTTTCAGCTGCGGCAATTAGAGTGACTCTGAAAAACAGTGTCCACAATCTGTTCCTAGGACTATTTTTTGGCAGTAGTAGCTAGTGTATGATAGGAAGCATCACTTCCTGCAATCGCTTCAAAAATTCCTATGAGATCAATTTCTTTCCGGGGGGGGGGGGGGAACAGGAAGAGACAGTAAAGGAGGTTGCATACATCTCAACCTGGAAACGAAACGAATTGACCAAGAAATAAGCATACCTGATATTCCATTCAGCAGCTATGGCCTTTGCAAGAGCAAGAGTAGGGAGTTTGAGAGGCCTTTTGGAAGGCGTCTTGAGAGTTCTATAATCTAGCATCACAGTCCAACCATTCCCATCATCTGCCTCCTTTGTCGTTACTTGCTTGTAGAAACGCTTGCCCACAATCGACCCTGTCATAAACGACATCGGCATGGTCACTGAAGAAGACGACGCATCTCGCCTGCGATTAGAATTTGGTCCCTTGACGTATATGCTATCCTCGTTTTCCCATTGCTCCCGTCCGGGAAAAGGAAAGGCGAACGACGACGATGGACCCTCCGACTGAGGCTGTTCGCGGGTGGCCGCGGAGCTTAATTGGCGAATGCGGTGAGTTGAGAGCGCAGTGAGAAAATTCGGATTTGTTATTGCTTTTGGATTTGCCTATGAGGAATATTGGCCATCTTCTCTCTGGTTCTCTGAAAAATTTGCAGAGAAGATTCTTCCGGTTGAAGTCAGGAAGAGATTTGAGAGGGGGTGCGGAGGAACACGACGCGGCCAGTAGCCTAGGCCATGGAAGACCATTGAGAAGAGGGACGAGGATGATGGGCCACTTAGGGCCCATCACTTAAGGGCGGATCCATCATCCTCACTCTGGTTCTCTCTCTGTCTCTCTCTCCCTTTTTCCCTCGCTTTTCCCACTACTCCGCCTTAATGGTAAATTTGTAGAAAAGATTCTTCCGTTTTGAGTTTGGAAGAGATTTTAAAACAAGAGACCACTGAATTGTGAATAGAAGTCTAAAAACCTAGGCCAGAGAAGAATAATGAAAATAAAAATGAGTGTGATGGGCCGTTTGAGGCCTATCATCAATCCAGTTAAGCCCACTGGGGTATTGTCCTCATTGTTTTTTTGTGCTAATCCGCACAAAAAGCGAACAATGTAGTTCATTTTTGTTAGTTACTAATGTTTTTGGTGAAACGTTAGTTGCCAATTTCTTTCAAATAAATGTCAACAAGTGTAGAAAAATGGAATCGCACCATCTCTCTCGCTCTCGTCCTTCCTCTTCTCAATCAAGTTGTCCTCAAAGTGAGGAAGAAAATGACTTACTGGTTCGAAGTTCGAAAAAGACCAAGAATACACAAGGAGACAAGAACATGAATATTCTTCATGGCAACTGGCCAAAGTTGGAAGCCATGGAATCTGGACACAGTGCTGAGAAATTAACATTTGCTGAGAAACTCAAAGGTATTAGAAAGGATGATGATTTTTTGGAATCGGAATCTGAGAAAGAGGATGGCAACTCAGAAGATGAACTGAATGATATGACAGAGGAAACCATGGAAGCTGACTATAATATAGTGGAGGACTCGAAACGAAACTTCCCCACCTTTGTCTTCTCATCCAGAGTTAAAAAAAGGCTTTACAAAGCTTGGAAGAAAGCTGTGATAGTGAAGCTGCTTGATCGACCTATAGGTTTCAAGGCACTAGAAACAAGATTACAAACAATGTGGGCAAAAAAAGGAGTGATAAGACTCATCAAACATTGGCTATGGATATTTTGTAGTGAAGCTATCTGCTCAAGAGGATTACTTCCAAGCTCTAACTGGAGGACCTTGGATGATTTATGACAATTACCTTACAGTTAGACCATGGGAGGCCAAGTTCAATCCTCAAAGTGCCACCATTAATAAAGTTGCTTGCTGGGTACGTGTGCCAAAGGTATTCTTAGATACTATGACGAGGAAGCACTCACTTTCATTGGAAATAGAATTTGCCAAACAATTAAAGTAGACAATTCATGCCTCCTACCAACTAAGGGGTCACTTTGCCAGAATTTGCTTCTTAATGGACCTTAGTAAACAACTAATGTCGGGCTTCCATTTAGAGGGGGAGAAACTACTACTTAGAATATGAAGGGTTGCACATGCTGTGCACAAAGTGTGGAATATATGGTCACAGATTGGAGCTTTGCTCTGCAAAACCACCTCAAGATCAAGATAGCACATATCTGAGATAGGGGAGGGTAAAACAGAGCATGCCAATGAAAAACCCATTCAGCCAGAAGAGGGCATAAATCTTACTGCAGCAGCACCAAACAATGGTCAGTTGTTCAAAACAGCTTCGGCAAAAGAGAGGGAAAGAAAAGCTAGTAGAACCATCACGACGGAACCCTTCAGGCTTTCGATTTGGGGTCCTCGCTAGCGATAATGAAAAAGAGCATACAACAAAGGTGACAATGGCACAGTACGCTATGTGCAGGAGCACCCACGTTCTGACATGGAGGGCCCACAGTATAGTGCTTTTAAAAAAAAGGAAAAAAGCTAACAGACTAAAAGCACAGAGGAGGACGTTGATATGACCCTTATAGCAAAAAACGGTAGTGGTACTAGAAATGGCGCCCCAGTAGAAGGAAAATGAGACGGATCACAATTCCAGGAGCTGTATAAATTTTTGTCTCCCAAAACAAAGGAGCATGATAGAGATTTACATAAAGAGGTTGCTAAAAGGCGGGCTAAAAAGAGAACAAGGGAGATGTAGGAGAATACACCAAGAGTAATGAGCTGCTGATGATAACTTGAGAGGAAAACGAGAACATCTCTACCAGGGCGATACATAACAAGGGGGACCATTCAACACCAGACTCTGATGATATGCTCTTGTGTCCCCTAACTTTTGATCCAGGTGACAACCCCATGCAAGTTCTTGACCCTAGGAAGGTAGCGGGCCGACTTTGGCTAGCCCAATTCCTAGTGAACAATCCTTAGCATCTATTGTTCTAGAGACCTAATTTTAATTGGGTTTGCTTTAGGCTCCTTCGTTATTTATAAGTCAGATGATTAATAGCCTTTTTTATTGGAACTCAAGGGGGTCTAACGGTAATGAGCTCCTTCAAAACCTTAAAGCTGTATGGACTAGAACCAAACCAAGTATTGTGCTCTTTCAGATACACGATATGACAATGATTCTCGTCTTAGAAAGCTCCAATCGCTCGGCTTTGACTCTCTTAGAATAATTCCTAGTATGGTTGCTCAGGTGGTCTTGTTCTTTTGTGGAATAGTAAAAGATGCTCAAATACAAATCATTGAAGAAGAGAGGCAACATTTCCATTTTCGCTGCACCTTACAGGACTCTCCTCCCTTTATCGTGACCACTCTCTATGCTCTTCCTCATTCTGGCTTTAGGGAGATTCTATGGAGCAATTTGTCCATAATCTCTCACCAATCAATGAGCCATGGCTAGTAGTTGGGGACTTCAATGATATAACGACTTCTTCAGAAAGGATTAGAGGTAAATTTGGAAGTTTAAATCAGATGAACTGGTTTAAAGATCAAATTAATGATTGTAATCTTATGGATATGGTTTCTCAGGCTCTAAATTCACTTGGAAAGGACCACTCCTTCCTAATTGTTCTTGTCTATTTGAACACTTAGACAGAGCGTTGGCGAATGATTTGTTTGTATCTCTCTTTCATGACTGCTCTGTCAAGGTATTGCCCAGAACCTCCTTCTCTGATCATAATCCACTATCATTTCTTTATTTTCCCATCAAAATTCAAGCGGTATTAAACCCTTCCGCTTTAAGGCTATGTGGCTTTCCTATGATAATTTCAAGACTTTTCTGAAAAAGAATGGAGTTCTGATGATAGTTTGGAATCAAATCTAGATAAATTTCGCCAATCGCTTTTGGTTGGAATATAGATGTCTTTAGTATGGTTGAAAAGAAAAAAAGGAATATTATTGCTAGACTTAAGGGTATTCAAAATGCTAATGCCTACCCCTTTTCCAAGTTCTTATGTAATTTGGAAGTCTCCCTACAACGTGATTTAGAGGAAATCTTGAAATTAGAAGAGACCAAGTGGTTTCAAAAAGCTCGTACTTAGTGAATCAATAGTGGTGATAGGAATACAAGATATTATCACTTAAAAACCACAATGAGAAGAAGAAGGAATAGAGTTTTAGCTCTCAAAAATGATTTTGGCCACCTTGTGGAAGATGAATTACAGATTAAGGAACTGATTACGCAATACTATAAACGGCTCTTTTCAGTTGAGGATGCAAGTGTGTTCAGACTAAATACAAAAGTAAACTTCCCTGCCATCAGTCAAGAGGTTTCTATTGATCTAGCTTCTATCCCATCTAAAGAAGAGATTAAGCAAGCTGTTTTCTCTATGGGACCCTATAAAGCACCAGTTACGATGGTTTCTCCCTTATCTTCTTTAGATCTAACTGGGAAACAGTGGTGACTCTTTCTGCAAATTTGTACAAGATGTTTTTGAAGGCTCTATCTCTATTACTGAAGATAACAAGACTCTTCTTTCACTTATCCCGAAGAGAGAAAAAGCTTGATTTGGTCAGTCATTTTAGACCAATCTCATTATGTACTGTCTACTATAAGAGCATCACAAAGATTATTAATGGTAGACTGAAGAAGAGTATGGATAATCTAATCTCTCCTTTTCAAGCCAGCTTTGTCCCAGGACGACAAATCCAGGACAATTTATTATCGGACAGGAAATTATGCATATCATAAGAAGGCTAGAAGAGGAAAAGGTTTCTTTGCTATAAAAATTGATCTAGAAAAAGCCTATGATCGTATTAGCTGGGATTTTCTTGAGCATGTACTGATTGATACTGGTATGAGTTCTGATCTCATAAAACTAATCATGAATTGTATTTCTACACCTTCTTATAATGTTTTATGGAATGGGTCACAATCTGAATTTTTTTCCCCCAAAGAGGTCTCCGTCAAGGAGATCCAATCTCACCTTTGAATTTGTCTTGTGTATGGATAGACTTTCTCATCTTATCAGTGATGTAGTAGATTCTAGATCTTGGTTACCTATCCATGTCACTAAACAAGGGCCTTCAATCTCACATCTAATGTTTACGGATGACCTCCTACTCTTTGGAGAAGCGTCTGAGCAGCAAGCATTTGTCATGATGGATTGTCTCAATAAATTTTGCAAAGCCTCAGGAGAAAAAGTGAATAAGTCAAAATCTTCACTCTTCTTCTCCAAGAATGTAAGGCCAGATTTAAAAGGAAAAATCAAGAGGATTACGGGAATGAACATCTCCTCAGAAATTGGCAGGTATCTAGGTTTTCCCTTTAACTGATGAACGAAAGTTAACTGCAAAGTTCCAGTACTTAATTGACAAAATCAACACTAAGCTGGCTGGGTGGAAATCAATTGTCTATCAACTGCAGGACGAATTGTGCTTGCTAAATCAGTTCTGAGTGATGTTCCCTTGTACCCATGCAGGTGTCGAAAATCCCTAATAAAGTTTGCAATGAAATTGAGAAGCTTCAGAGAAACTTTACTTGGGGTTCTTCAATATCTAGAGGTTTTCATCCTCTCAATTGGCAAATGATAACATTGCCAAAGCATATGGAGGACTCGGTTTTAGGAAGCTCTCCTCTATCAACAAAGCTTGTGGTACAAAACTTGCCTAGAATCTTGTGTCGGAAACAATGGCCTGTGGGCTGATCTATTATTGAATAAATACATGTTACACTCTGAGGATAATCTTTTGACACCAAACAGTCTGACTCAAAGGCTGTGGAAATTTATTTGTCAGCATAAGAGTTATGTGGAGGAAGGAACTCGTTGGCAACTACGTAATGGAGAATCCATTAATTTTTTTGAAGATCTTTGGCTCTTTCCTGATAAGAAAATAAAAAATCTAGTATTGAGACCTCTCTTGGAGGAGGAAAAAATACCAAAGTTGCTAATTGGACGTACTTTGGTAGTTGGGATTTTGTCAGATTATCTTTTATAGTGTCGAATGAGGTAAACCACAAAACTTATCTCAGTCTTACCTGTTGTCGAATGGCACTAATAATGGTTCCTTTACTATTAAAAGTGCTTTACTTTATGATTGAAAACCCCCCACAAGCTTACTTGACCCTATATTCAATATGATCTGGAAATGGAAAGGGGTAGAGCGAAT